GTGGGGGGTGGTTCTGATGTGCAGTGCGGCTGAGGGCACGGCTCTGCATTGGGGTTTTCCACCCGCGCCCTCCCCCAGGGAGGAGCGTGAGGGAGCGTGGCTGGGTGGCTCCTGCTCCTTCTCCAGAGGAGCCAGGTGTCTCACAGGCCCCCTCCGTCTGCAGCCCGCAATGCCCTGGTGGTCTCCGGCGCCGCCCTGATGGCCTACTCCTGCGACGTGGCTGGGCACCGGCCCTTCGTCCTCACCGGGGAGGTGGTGCAGGGGCTCCCTGCGGTGCGGCCCCCCCACTTCTCAGTGACCACAGCCAACGGGACGGTCTCCTTCACCCAGATGGTCCAGGTGGGTAGGGAGGGAGCCAGGCCGCCTGCCTGGGCTGCAGGGGCCTCGGGGCCTGGTCTGTCCCCCGAAGGCACCCGCTGGTGGCAGGGAGCTCTGAGCCCGGCCAGACTGCCCGGTCCTCGGGAAGGGGTGTCTGGGGGCAGGGACAGGCAGGGGAGAATTCCAGATCGGGTACAGCCCCAGGGCCTCACACTGGTTTTTCTGCCTCGTGCACACGGTAGCAGGGTGTGCTGCGTCCGCACCTGGGTGTGCCAGCTCACAGCCCTGTAGCCGAGTGCGTGTGCCTCCTGTGCCTGTGGGAGGCCGGTGTCTGCTCTGGCTTCACAGAGCAGGATTCCAAGATACCCCGCCCCCCGTCCCACGCAAAACCACACGAAACCGAAACAACAAAAAGATGATCAGAAACACAAAATTAAGGAAGATGGGAGTCGGACCCGCTACAAACTGATGGTGGTGTGACCCTGAGCTGCGGCGGCATCGGGAAGGGAAGCCCTTTTTTCTTTCCTTGAAAGCCTGTGTTGTCCCGGGTGTGTACCTGCCCTTCTTCCCTACTCGGCCCCTTCTTGCCCTTTATTTTTTAAAAAATATGTTTATTGATTTCCGAGAGGAAGGGAGAAGGAGAGAGAGAGAAACATCAATGATGAGAGAGAATCATCATCAGCTGCCTCCTGCATGCCCCTCCACCCCCCTCAGCTGGGGATGGGCCCGGAACCCCGGCCTGGGTCCTGACTGGAACCGAACTGGCAACCTTGGTTCATAGTTAGATGATCAACCCCTGAGCCGCACAGGCCGGTGGGAAAGGGGAGCCCTTTCCTGCCCCGCGGGTCACTCGCCCTCCCTCTCCCCTCAGGACATGGGGGCCGGGCTGGCCGTGGTGCCGCTGATGGGGCTGCTGGAGCCCAGCGC